GGGCACCAATACCATTTTGAGAGCCATGAGTTTATTCAACTATTGTCTCCTATTCCAGGTAGGCAATAAAAAGTTGTACTGGATTCACTTTGTATCATTTTTATTTTCCTGCTTCACAAAGGTAGGCAGCAGCTTGACAAAACCGTGATGGCAATTATTTTACATCGAAGTAGTATGCAGTTCTTCAAAAAATAAATACACACATATATCAATTTCCAACAGATGGTATCGGTATCAGGGCCAAACAATGGCATCAGTGCAACACTAGTTATTTTGGCGACGTTAGAAGGAAGGTTTAGATCCAAGATGGTGGAACGCAGCACAGAGCAGTTGTGGTGTAGGTACCAGATCTGCTCGGGTCCTGCTTCATGCCTGTCATATTACGCTACATGATTACCGTCCTGTCTATTGATGATTGGCCAAAAGTGGCGCATACAATAACTAAATAAAGACAATTTTACTTAATCTTTTAATTTGAGAATTAAATTTTTTATAAATGTATGCTTTCCTTCTCAAATAAAAAAAACAACATAAATAGGGCGACCAGACGTCCTCTTTTTTCCCCAGACATGTCCTACTTTTCATACCTAAAAAATGTGCGGGGGGAATTTCAAAATTCTCTTTCCTTTTCAGAAACCCAAATCTGGTCACCATAAACATAAATATGTTGCCTGGAAGTTAGGAAGGAATCGAAATAAATGCTAAATAAAACCATATTATAAACCTGTATTTATAAAAATTAAGCTTCCCTATAATCACTTTTTAACTTGATGAATTGTGAACAAAATTTATATTCAAACTGAATTAATAAATTTTTCTTTGTTTTCATCAAGACACCTGAGCTGCTTTGATGAGCTCTGATAGCTCAGTGTGAAAAACAGCAGATCCCAGGCTGTTCTCTACATCCAGTCTCAGTTTGGATGGGTGTCAAAGCTGAAGGTGAACTCAAACATATATTAAAAATAGATTTTTGGTTGATAAAAACCTTTTTAATTATTATTTTGCTGGCCTGAAACAATGTCACAGAATAAAATAGGATTATGACTGCTTCAGGTTTTTCTAAAGCCCTGTTGGGGTGTGTTTGTTTTATCTATTGCTAATAGTTGGAGGTAAGTTCTGGGCAACCCTAGAAGATTTTAGGATCAATCTGCAGGACGACAAGTCGGTCTTTGGTTTAGCATTAATATGTTAAAATCGCCATGAAAAAAAAAAAAAAAACACTGATCCTTATACATCCCTGTTTCTGCAGAATTGGCTCATTTTTGCCTCAGGAAAAAAATCTGAGCATTTACCAAAGGTGGATAAGGACCTGCCTTACCTGACGGTCTGTAGCTGTAGCTTGGTATGTGGATATTTTTGACCTTTTCTAGCTTGCATAAGCAGCAATGCTGACAGAAAGGGCAGCAGAAAAGAATCATCCTTTGGGCTCTGAGGGACCTTTATGTGCACCTTGTTGACTCTTTCAAAATGGAAATAAAAAGAGCTTTTCTCCTAAGAAACTAAATAAGAAACTAAACCTTACTGTTAGTGGCTCAACCGCAACATTACAAGGGAAACAGTGGTGCAAAGATTTTAGGTATGCTGCCGATGGGAGACTTTGGGCGGCAACGTGGATTTGTTTTGCACATGTGGAGAGGATGCAGACAAGAGAAAGGACCTTCTCTGTTTGTGCAAAATAAAGAAGATAATCAGAACCTACAGTACCGCCTGTAGGATGAATTGGAGGCTCAATGAAAGCAGAGCTGGTATTTGGATTACACTCAGCTCAGGTCTCTGTTTTAATCACTGGAAGAAAAATCAGTCAGAAACAGAGATTTTAAACTAGAAATTAATCATCCAAGAAAATAGTTAAGAGTAGAAGTACTGAGTAAGAGTTGGCTCATAAGATCTGATTTAATGTTAAAAGTATGTAATAAGAGCGACAGTTATGAACAAATTTGTATTTTTTAAAGTTGTGAAGAAGATTTTAAAAAAGGAAACTGGACAGAATTGTTTTTTAAATAAATATGGTAAACAATTCAGAGGAATTTCTAGGCGCAGCCAGGGACCGGAGGGTGTCCGGTTTGGAAACCTCAGGATATCATGTCTGCCTTTTGCAGATATTATTGTCCTGTTGGCCTCATCAAACCAGGACCTTCGATGTGTTCTGGGGCGGTTTGCTGCCGAATGGGAAGCGGCCGGGATGAGGACCACCACCTCCAAATCCATGGTTTTCCACAGGAGAACGGTGGACTCCCTTCTTCAGGTCGGTGGAGAGTCCTTGTCTCAAATGGAGGAGCTCAAGTATCTCAAGATCTTGTTCACGAGTGAGGGACGGATGGAGCGTGAGACCGGTGCAGCATCGGCAGTGATGCAGTCACTGTATCGGAGTGTCGTGGTGAAGCGGGAGCTGAGTCGGGGGGCAAAGCTCTCGATTTACTGATCGATCTACGTTCCCACCCTCACCTGTGGTCAAAGACAAGATCATGAATACTAGCGGCTGAAATGAGTTTCCTTCGCAGGGTGGCTGGGCGCACCCTTCCAGATCGGGTGAGGAGCTCAGTTACCCCGGAGGAGCTCTCTGCTTAGACTGCTGCCACCGTGAACCGGCACCGGATGGATGGATGGATCTGGGCAGAAACAACCCTTCCAAATATATTTTTTCAACGTTATAAACCAATCCTAACAGTGCTTGGTGTTTTGCATAGAAAGAAAGACTGCAAAAAAAAACAAAAAAACAAAAAACAAAAGTTTTACTGTTTTTTTAAGGTATAATGGAGGCCCTCTCTACTTTAACAAAATGCACATGAACAACCCTGTACCCACTCCAGAGATATGGAAGCAAATCGTACCATATTTCAAATGAAAAAGCATTTCCAGAAATGCTTTTTCATTTTCAAATTTTACATTTCAAATTGAATTTTGGTATGTATTTGCTGGGGTGCATTTTGAAAAATAAATCTCAAATGTCTTTTTCATTTTAATTAAGTAAAAGTATGAGCAGTGTTGAAGAAGAAAATGAAAATGCAAACAGGATGATTGATTACAAATTTCATTTATGAGTCAAACAATGCAGCCACATTCTTAAAATGACAAAAGCATTTCTGGAAATGCTTTTTCATTTGAAATATGGTAACGATTTGCTTCCATACGGAGAGGGAACGTCTATTGAACACGTGCAGAGCGTGAACAAGCTCATTTCTTCTCATGCACGCTCTGTTTAAAACTTGCTGTTCGCATCGCTCATACAAGCTTACTTTCCAAAAGAGATTTGCAATTTTTCCACTATGACTCACCACCGGTTAGTGAGAATGGGGACGAGCACATAGCAGGACCACTTCGTTTGGTGATCCACCTGGAAAAAGAACATCCTCCACTATAACTTTAATATAAAAGATTAATTAAAAGTTGTCAAATGTGTTTTGTAAAAGAATATTAGGAAAAAAATGCAATCCAGAGATGAAACTTGAAAATAAACTAGGAAAAGGGTTTTTGAAATTATTTTTGCTTTATTGATTGACATGAAATTCAAGGGGTTTTGTAAATGTAAGAAGAGTTTTAAAAATAAAAGTTCTAATGATTTTTATATAGGAAAAAAAATATCCTAAGCTGTGGTGCAGATGAGAGAAATATGTAATCGCAAATTCCACATGTGATCAAACGTTTAATAGAACATACATTAACAAAAAGCCCCCTCAGTTTGCTCCTGTCACTGCTAACGCTTTCAGATTTCCTACGGAGAAAAGTTGTTTTTTTTCTGGTCTGTTGTTCATAAACTTGATGGAAATAGAAGCAGAAATATCTTCTCACTCCAGTTTAATAGTGAGAACTTAGTTCCAGGAAAACATTTGTGGGTCTTTTATTATGAAAGACGTTTTTATGACTGTTCCCGCTGCCAATATTTACATTTAATTATTGAAACCCAGTCTATTTTGTTTATTCTTTTAACTCAGGGTGTAATTAAATGGAGGTTTTGTAGCTTGGGAACCATCTGTCTCTGCCACTAATACACTTAGCTGTTTCGCACATTGTAGGATCAGCAGAACTGAAAATGTGAGGGTTTGCTGAAAGTCTGCTGCAATGAGAAAACGGCCCCTGGACGCCTCGACCTTACTGCAGAGCACCGCTGGTGAAGATGTGAAAATTTTTTTTTTTATCATTGTATTAAACTAATGACTGGTGGAACAATTATTCGCTCTGCTTTCAATAATATCCTCTGCCCACAGCCTCCACAGAGTTCTGGTTTCTCTTTCACTCTCTCCAGAGGTTTTCTGTAGTATTCAGGTCTGGTAACATTTCAACATCATTTCTGACGCAATGACCACTGACTGCTTTATTTCTTTTAAATTCTTGATGAGATCTTGTTCTCCTAAAGGTTCTCACAGCCTTTGGAGGAGAAGCAGGCCCAGAGCATCACACATACTCTCCCTTACTTACCGTAATAAAAACTCATCCCTCTGAATTTCTCAGCCTTAAAAGTATCTGGTTGCCATAGAGCTTCTGATGGTTGTTATTATATTGAAACTTTCTCGTTCTGCTTTAGAAGAACATTGACAATGCTTCTTATAATGAGCAATAATGTTCATGTTTGCATGAAACAGATGGACTTTGCCTTTATTTAACTGAGATATTATGTATTAGTTTTCAATGTTTTATGATGTATTAGTTTTAATGTATAAGCTTCATTTGATATTTATTGAATAATATGGTTTTCATTTATTTATGATTCATTACAACTAATGTATTGAACTGTTAAAAAAGTTGAGGGAAGGGGGGCATGAAAACTTTCTTGCAAGCTAAAGCGGGATGTTTTGAACTGCTGCTTTAACCTTTCAAAATGCTCCTTTTAAATGTGTTTCCTGATTATTTTCATAGGTAATCACTGTGTATGTAAACATTTGAGTTTGATAAAATGCAAAAAAATCCTTAATGGTTCTAGAAATTTGATAAATGGAAATAATAATTTCTGGTAATAAAAAAAGACATGTTTTATTTATGATTTATTTTCTCTTGTGTTTCAGAGCTCCTTGGTTCTACGAAGAAGGTGAATGTAAACTTTCAGGATACAGACGGGTAAGTCAGCCGCTCTTCTCCTCCTGGCATGTTCTGCTCATCTGTTTCCATCAGCTTTACAGGGAATCCTGTAAAGTAATCTTTTTTTTTGAGAGTTTTTACAGCACTTTTTTTTTTACTAATTATTTTTTTCGACAGTAGGCTGACAGGAAAGCAGGTATGTGAGAGAGGCAGAGACATGTGGCAAAGGACCACAGGTTGGATTTGAACCTGGGTCGGCCGCGTTGAGGACTAAGGCCCCCGTACATAGGTCATGCGCATTAACCACTGCATCAATTGCACACCTACCTACATTTAATTCTGTCATCTAAACTGCAACTGTGTCGTTCATCAATGTTAACATGAAACCTTCAGATCCTGCGTGTCTCTTCTATGTGACAGTATTCTATGGCGATCCATGTTAGCAGAGAGAAGCTTTGACTTAAAATCAGCTGAAATCACAAATACCCTCCTGTCAGAAACATGCGCTACAGTCAGTAGATTGAAACGCTTCTCAAAGAGTTAGTTTTTTTTCCACTGGAAATTACATTTTAATCTCTTTAATTCATCATTCTTTCCAAACCATTTGTACAGAATTAATTGCAACCTGACGACAAGATGCTTGGGAGGCTATTCTGAAATAGTTTCCACATTTTGCTTCCTGATAGATCAACTTGTAGCTCAGTTATCTGCACGAGCTGTTAATGAGCCTCACGCTCAGTTATTTTAGATGTCATTCCTCTCCCTGCTAATTATTTAAAGACCCAGAATAAACTAACTATAAAAGAGAAAAGAGATGTTTGCTACTTCTCTCTCCATGGCAGTTATTCAGCATGTACTTGTGTCAGCTACAGTAGATGGTTTGAAGTTGAGTGATTTAAACTGAGTTACTTTTACATTCTGACCATCTATCAAGAAAGTTAAACAGAAAGAAGTCAGATTTTCCTCCTGTTTGACATGAAAATCCCATGAATTTCACACGTGATTATGAACATTTCACATATAAATCCCATGAATTTCTCATGTAATTCCTTATTGTTCACCTTAAAAACCCATGACTCTTACATATGATCCCCATTTTCCACATCAAATCACATGAATTTCACAGATGATTCCCCTTTTCCACATCAAGATTCCATGAATTTCGCATGTGATTCCCTTTTTTCCCCATCAAATTCCATGAATTCCACATGTGATTACCTTTTTCCACATGAAAATCCCATGAATTTAGCATGTGATTTCCTTTTTTCACATGAAAATCCCATGAATTTCACATGTGATCCCCATTTTCCATATGAAAATCCCATGAATTTCACATGTGATCCCCATTTTCCACATGAAAATCCAATGAATTTCACATGTAATTCCCTTTTTCCTCATGCTATCCTATGAATTTCACATGTGATTCCCTTTTTCAACATGAAAATCCCATGAATTTAGCATGTGATTTCCTTTTTTCACATGAAAATCCCATGAATTTAGCATGTGATTTCCTTTTTTCACATGAAAATCCCATGAATTTCACATGTGATCCCCATTTTCCACATGAAAATCCAATGAATTGCACATGTGATTCCCTTTTTCCCCATCAAATCACATGAATTCCACATGTAATTCCCTTTTTCCTCATGATATCCTATGAATTTCACATGTGATTCCCTTTTTCAACATGAAAATCCCATGAATTTAACATGTGATTTCCTTTTTTCACATGAAAATCCCATGAATTACACATCATTTCCTTTTCCCACATCATATCCTATGAATTTCACGTGATCCCCTTTTTTTTAACATGAAAATCCCATGAATTTCACATGTGATTACCTTTTTCCACATCATATCCCATGAATTTCACAGGTGATCCCCATTTTCCACATGAAAATCCCATGAATTTCACATGTGATCCCCATTTTCCACATGAAAATCCCATGAATTGCACATGTGATTCCCTTTTTCCCCATCAAATCACTAGAATTACACGTCATTTCGTTTTCCCACATCATATCTTATGAATTTCACATGTGATCCCCATTTTTTAACATGAAAATCCCATGAATTTCACAGGTGATTACCTTTTTCCACATCATATCCCATGAATTTCACAGGTGATCCCCATTTTCCACATGAAAATCCCATGAATTTCACATGTGATCCCCATTTTCCACATGAAAATCCCATGAATTGCACATGTGATTCCCTTTTTCCCCATCAAATCACTTGAATTACACGTCATTTCGTTTTCCCACATCATATCCTATGAATTTCACGTGATCCCCTTTTTTTTAACATGAAAATCCCATGAATTTCACATGTGATTACCTTTTTCCACATCATATCCCATGAATTTCACAGGTGATCCCCATTTTCCACATGAAAATCCCATGAATTTCACATGTGATCCCCATTTTCCACATGAAAATCCCATGAATTGCACATGTGATTCCCTTTTTCCCCATCAAATCACTAGAATTACACGTCATTTCGTTTTCCCACATCATATCTTATGAATTTCACATGTGATCCCCATTTTTTAACATGAAAATCCCATGAATTTCACAGGTGATTACCTTTTTCCACATCATATCCCATGAATTTCACAGGTGATCCCCATTTTCCACATGAAAATCCCATGAATTTCACATGTGATCCCCATTTTCCACATGAAAATCCCATGAATTGCACATGTGATTCCCTTTTTCCCCATCAAATCACTTGAATTACACGTCATTTCGTTTTCCCACATCATATCTTATGAATTTCACATGTGATCCCCATTTTTTAACATGAAAATCCCATGAATTTCACATGTGATTACCTTTTTCCACATCATATCCCATGAATTTCACAGGTGATCCCCATTTTCCACATGAAAATCCCATGAATTTCACATGTGATCCCCATTTTCCACATGAAAATCCCATGAATTGCACATGTGATTCCCTTTTTCCCCATCAAATCACTTGAATTACACGTCATTTCGTTTTTCCACATCATATCTTATGAATTTCACATGTGATCCCCATTTTTTAACATGAAAATCCCATGAATTTCACATGTGATCCCCATTTTTTAACATGAAAATCCCATTAATTTCACATCTGATTTCCTTTTCCCACATCATATCCTATGAATTTCACATGTGATTCCCATCCCTTCATTTGTGGTTTCTATTTCCCACATAAAAACAGAAATCCTTCCAGTTAAACTTTGTTTACATTTATTCTGAAGCTGTATAACCGATTGCATATATAAACTCAATAAAGATGCTAAGAAATGTTTATAAGCCACGTTTTAATTCAAGGTTTTGTACATTTCAATAACTAGGTTATTTGAGCTTTAGTTAAAATGTATTTTTCTTCTTTTCTCTAATCCATTTGTTTGTTTTTTACCTGAGCTGACTCATACAAAGTAGGAAATCCATATATTTCAACACAAACATCTTGAGAGACATAAACACTTTTAAGATTCACCATTTATTATCTTTTAAAAGAACCCGTGTGTTGACCTTGTAAAGTATAGATTAGTTCTTTGTAGTGTTTTAAAGCTCCAGAGACGACATGACACACTAGAGACTGCCAACATTAGCTGTTCTGGATGAGAATCCTCTTTCAAGTATACAAACTGGCTTTAGGAACAGGAAGCATCAGATGGGAACACTGATGGATTTGTGGAGGGAAATAGAAAAAGATAAGAACAGCAAGGAAGTAACTGGAAGTAGAAGACAGCTTTATTAAGAAGTCAGACTCTCAGACTGTTTGCTCAACAAGAATAGAGAGAGAGAAGAAAGATGGAGGGTATAGATATCGCATTTCACTTTGTGTAACTTGGCAAAAGCACAGGCTTCCTGTTGTCTGTAGAGGACCAGGAGAGTCAGTGAAACAGAAATACAAAAATATTCAAATTTAACTTTTAAGTAATAGATTTAGAAATCCAACTTGAAAAGTGTTTTTAAAAAAGTAAACATTTTTATTAAATTATTAGAGAAAATTGCAAATTGAATATAGCAATCCATTTAATACTGCAATTTGAAAATGTATTTTCAAATCTTGTTTCTAAATGGAGATTAAAAACACTTTTCATGAATCTAGTTGTAAATATAATTTCATATAAAACATTTAAAATGGGCAATGAATTTTTTTGTTTTTGTTTTTTCACTTTGCATTTTGAAATCCTTTTTGCCTTTAAAACCAAACACACTTTAAAGGTCATAGCTACAGCATTTTAATCCAAAATGTCTGGAGAAGTGCAGAATAAAGTATAAATTTTACTGAAAATACTAATATAAGTAATCATTTTTTTTATTATGACAGTTCCAAAATATATTTAATAACAGACTAAGACAAACTTTAGTGTCATTTGTATACAAAATGATATTTTGTTGCATACAGCTTAAAACTGTGTAATGATATTGCACTTGGAATAAGATTACCAATAAACCAGTTTAAAACGATGGTGCAAAAGAACGTTAAGATGAAAAGGTTCAGGGCATTGCAAAATAAATATGGTGCAAAATGCAGTAGAACATTGAGTTGTGTCGTATTTGAAAGGATTATAAAAGATCAGCCACAATGGTAGTGCAAAAATAGTTTGATGCAGAGTCCAGTTTATACAGTAGTTCAACAGTTCAGCAGTGTGATGGCAGCGGGGAAAAGCTGTTGCCAAACCTGCTGGACCTGCAGCGGAGCTGCAACGCCTCTTCCCTGAGGGAAGCAGGGAGAACGGTCCATGGTGGGGGTGTGAGGGGTCATTGATGATGTTACGGCCTCGGGGCATGCAGCGCTGGGATGCAATGTCTTTTATGAAGAGAAGAGGAGTCCCGATGATCTTCTCACCTTCTTCCAGTCTGAGGCGCTGCAGCCTCCACACCACACAATGAGACAGCTGGTCAGAACGCTCTCTATGGTGCTTCTGTAGAAGGTGGTGAGGATAGGGGCAGGTGGGCTCTCCTCATCCTCCGCAAGAAGTACATGCGCTTTTGTGCCCTTTTGATCAGTGAGGTGGTGTTTACAGTCCAGGTGAGG